ACTCCAAAATGTGCAAGTGAAGAATGAGACTGAAAACAGACAATGGTTGGGTTATACCCCAGCGGATTGACGGGACTGGACTGGACTGGCTGGTACCGACAGAGGTACCGGCCTGGACTGGCCTACCCGTAATACAACACAGGCCTCTGAGAACAGGCCAAGGGGCTGGTCTAACAAGCCAACCCGAGGTCCGCTACACCGTCGGACGCTATGGCTATCTTGTTGGTTGACTCTTTGTCGACGCCTAACATCGCAGGTCTCAGAGTCGGACGTGGCCGGTCTCGGCCGAAGGCTGTGTTCCCGTCACTCCTTCTGCGAGCGAGTTCGTCGGATGAAGCCAGGAGCTAGGTACTCGTGGTTCTGCAGGCACTCTCAGCACGGGGGAGGGGCCTGTATGGGGCGATGGCGAGCCAGGGCACGATGGTTAGGGAGTGATAGGGTAGGATTCGGTGATAGAAAGGGAAATCGGTCCCTACGATAATGATCCTGGGTTTCATGACAGCGTGACACGTGTGTGGGTTAGAGTAGTGGGGGAGATAGGGAATACGTCCCAAGGCCCAATCGACGTCCCACTCGCAGATTCGTTCATTCCCCGTTAAGGCAAGTTCGGGGGTTCTGCCCTGGGCCATGTAGACAAGCGAGAGTGGTCCGTGTATTCCCGAAATTCCCGATCCCTTAAACACTCACGGTCAGTGATGTAAACGAGGGCGTCGAAATTGATGCTGCAAGTTGGGGAGGAGCACCAACCATTCGAGATTTAGCCGAGTTCAGGGTTCGTGGACGTTTTCGTGATGACGTGACACGTGTGTGGGTTAGAGTAGTGGGGGGGATAGGGAATACGTCCCAAGGCCTGATCGACGTCCCACTCGGAGATTCGTTCGTTCCCCGTTAAGTAAGGGAAGTTTGGGGGTTCTGCCCTGGGTCGTGTAGACAAGCGCGAGTGGTCCCAGTATTCCCGAAATTCCCGATCCCTCAAACACTCACGGTCAGTGATAAAAACGGGGGCGTCGAAATTCATGCTGCAAGTTGGGGAGGAACACCAGCCATTTGAGATTTAGCCCAGTTCAGGGTTCGCGGACGTGCGTGTAAGCAGTGATCGTCTCTGGTCGAGCCTACACGTGTATATGCAAACCCTGTCCTCTGGTCAGAGGGGCGGAATCCAATGGCTCGCGAGACAGATCATCCTATGGTGAAGACAAATCATCCTACAGTGAGACAAACTTCCGATAGTCTAACATGCCTATCCAATTCATGCACAAGCAGGATTACGCCTATTGTCCATGCATCTAGTTTTGAATCGAGGTTCATGCAACACGTCTTTGGCACATTAGTCCGAAATGACGCAAGGTTCAGTCTTCGGGGATCAATCAATTAGACCCATCAATCAAAGAGGTTAGAGAAGGTGAGGGGAAGAAGACAACCATTCATCAACAGCCAAGGAGAGCAAACGAAAACATACACGTCAACAAAAAAGAGCAAATGACAAGTCCGAATGCCGATCCAGAAAGGAAAACGAGGGGCGACTCGAGCTAAATACCAAAATAGCTCAAAAGGAAAGAAGAAGAATCAAAATGGCTTGGAGGGATAGAGGAAGAAGCTCATCGCACACTTCCCGCCTCTCTCTCTCTCTCTCTCTCTCTCTCTCTCTCTCTCTCTCTCTCTCTCTCTCTCTCTCTCTCTCTCTCTTTTTTTTCTCATCACCCCGATGCGGGCAGTCCGCCGCCTCGCACCCACACAGAATTGTCACCTTGCTTGATCGGAGCATGCAAACCAGGTTCGCCCGTGTGCCGCAGTCCATCGCGGCCCCACGTCAACTCCGCACGCTTAGCATCAACTCGTCGTATCGCCCAACTCTCTAGTCACCTGCCAGCCTTTGCTCGTTAGCCGACCCTTTCGACCTCGCTAACTTCCAAAATTCTTAGAGAGCGAGTTAATTGCGCTTACGAAATTTATAGCATGCATGCGTGTGCGCGTGCTACCTGGGATTGTGTCTGAGTACGTGGAAGAAAGAGGAAGGGAGTGCCTACGACTGTATGGCCAGGCCGCGGTGTGGGGGACGTAGCCTCACTCCACACATCGATCCGGTCATGCACGCGTTCAGGCCAATAGGACAGTGTAAGAAGTACACGTGCATGGAGGCGCCACAAAAGATACCAAGAGCGAGGGAATTACAGTTGCAATTATGCCCGCCAAAACAAAATTTACAGTTATACTCAGGATTAAGGCGCGGAGAAATCAGAGCACAGACCTTGATGCGGCATGGCTTAAGCAAGCAAGAAGCGCAGTGCAGCAGAAATTGAGGCGCGCCTAAATTGCTAATTCTAGTTCCCAGTAAAATGAAATTTCGAACGAAGCAATTTCCGAGAGCCTGCGGGGGCTCGACATCAGTTGAAAATTCAAAAAGATTTCCCCACGCAACAATCGTGCCAAAAATTCCCCATTCCCACAGTAGAACAAGAAAGAGGCTATGGCAACAGTTATTCGTCACGCTCACTAAGGCGCGATCAACTACCAACCGTCACGGGACCAGGCCAGCCCCCCTCGCTTTTCCAAAGGATGCGAAAGCACAAGGACGCGTAAAGCAAGGGCATCCATGCAATTCACCAGGCCATCCCGACTCAACCCGTTTCAACCCCCGACGTAGCCTCGAGCAGAAGATTGCGCGGTTGCAGAAAGTAGTATGTCACAGCCTTATGACCCAATGCAGAGTATGAGTAAAATACTGCACTACATGAGGGTTTGCATATAAGAATGACAAAGGAACAGTGCACCAAACGAAACATAAGCCCAGATACGGAATACTAATGACTAAATACGATCAAGGTTGCCAGTGACACCAAAGCACATAGCAGGAAGAGCTTGAAAGAGGGGGAAATTATTTCCAAATATTATCGTGTATGACAGTCATGAAGTAAGCCACTCTTAAGGAGTATTTAGCAAAAAAATATGGCTAGATTAATGCACTCTAAATATTTCGTGCTAGAGAGTGGCTTGGTGGATGCTCAGTGCCCTTGATTCCCACGGAGATGCTCCCACCACCACCAAAGGAACTCCCACTCCCATTGGTGGCGCCGCTCGTCGAGCTTCAGGTCTTCACGCTCCCAGTTGAGATAGTCAACAGTAGTTCTCACGTGCTCCTCCCAACACCAGTCCCATCACCACCGGCTGCCCACCCACTGCCTCCAGAGGTGCCGTTGTTGGATGTGCCCGCTGTCCCCTACTAGACTCTCTCTCCCTTCGTCGTGTTCACACTGCACTCATTGTTACTTGACTCTTGTAGATTCTGTTGTAGGATGTCTGTTGTAGCATGTCTTTTGTAGGAGTTGGAATCGCCCTGCTCCCTGGTATTCCACAGGGAGACAGAGCCCCTTGTCGGAGCTGAGGGCGATGACCGAACCTTGAATACCAGGGAGACACAGCCCCTTGTCGGAGCTGAGGGCGATGACCGAACCTTGGGATCATCAAAGAAGACATCGTTCCGCCCCACACGCCCAGTTCCGCTCCACACCCCCAATCCCACCCTCGCTGCCGATGCAGAGCGCGTCTCCGAACAGCAAGTACGCCTGGTAGCGCAGGGCTTCATAGGACTGAGTCCTTCCCCCATCCAAAAGGATGTTTTCGTTGCTCTTCCTTCTGCACCTCTATTTTCCGTGGGCCCTTGCAAGGAACCACGGACTGCCGGCCAACTCTCTCTTTTTTTTTTTTTTTTTTTTTTTTTTTTTTGACCATTTCTCGATGTATGCGTGTCATCCTTGCGCAGGGGCCATGCTAATCTTCTTTCTCTGTGGGCATAGCCACACCACTCTCGAAAATGTGCGAAATGAGAATGAACTTCGGGCTAGAACATGGCCAGATGCGTCCGGCACATGTTTGTCGTTTTCACATTTCGAGAGTGGTGTGGCGAGGCCCTGTATAGGGCCAGTTTTTTTATTTATTATTTATTTATTATTTATTATTTTTATTTTTTATTTTTTTGAAATTTTAAATTGGCGGACAGTCCTTGGGGACAGCCGTTAAAATTGGAACGGTACAGCAGGTAAAGGGAAAATACGCAGGATTGACTATTGAAGGGGTGCCAGTTCTACCTCATTCGCCCTGATCGATATCTGGCTTGGTATCCTGCTACGTTGCAGCTTTCAAGTTGCAGTTGACTGTTGAAGGGGTGCCAGTTCTACGTCATTCGCACTGATCGATATCTGGCTTGGTATCCTGCTACGTCGCAGCTTTCAAGTTGCAGTTTAACTGCAACTTGAAAGCTGCAACGTAGCAGGATACCAAGCCAGATATCGATCAGGGCGAATGAGGTAGAACTGGCACCCCTTCAACAGTCAATCCTGCGTATTTACCCTTTACCTGCTGTATCGTTCCAGTTTCAACGGCTGTCCCCAAGGACTGTCCGCCGACTCTCGGCGACCCCTTGCGGGTGTGTCAAGGCGGAGTATTGTCGTTTGGCACTTACGGTAATTGATCAACACCCGGTTTTCGTTTTTGCGTATGTCCCTTTCCGTACTCGTTGGTTATCGATTCGCGTGATCCGTCAGGCGATGCGGCGGATCCGTGTGGCGATGCGGCCGAAAACGACCGCCAACACCGAGGGAATTTTTTTTCCGTTTGGTTTCGTTTTGGCCGCCAGGGGGTCCTTATGTTTGACTGATGTGAGCAGGTCCAGTAAAGAGGAGGGGTTTGAAAGGAGTATACTTCGCGAGTGGTATCCTCCGAAAACGGACGGCAATCCTCACGCCGTCTCCAAAGCACCAACCATGCTCATGCGCTTGCTATTTCTCATGGACAGGAGCGCACATAACCTCCGTCCATCGCGCAGACGCGCACCATCGTACACTTGCGCTCTCTCAGACACAGACACCTACATACACGCACACATAGAGGTAATGTAGTGAGCATGTAGAGAAGGCTGAGAGAAGGAAAGCTATGTGGTTGTTCTCATGGTTGGACAGCGTAACGAGGGAGTGTAGCGAATGGAATATGGCAGCATAGGRCAGCGTAGCGAAGGAGGGCGAGCGCTGCTGATCGACGATACACAGACACACACACAMTGGTAATCGTGTGATCAGTCGGTGGAACGCCGACGAAGCAGCGTCGGAGAGGGGGGCCGAAGGATAGTGTAAGCAATGTACGGAGGGGGGCCGGCAGGGTCGGAGAGGACGAAGAGGCCAGGGTCATGGAAGGAAGTTTGCGGTATGCTGCGCATCATGCTGGTGGTAGTCGCTGGATYGGCTGGGGTTCATCTTCTCTGCTTCCACGTTCTTTCTGGTGACGACGCMTYCTCCGTCGTCACTCCCTCTCGATGGTCGGAGCAAAGCCTTTCGTCGGTCTCCCCAAGTTGGCGACGCAACCTTGCTCGTTCGAAGACTCCCAAGGTTCTGATGGTCTCCGCAAGCCAGGCGTTGTGTGGAACGCGTCTTGGTGATAACGACATCATGAAGTCGTTGAAGAACAAGGCTGATTACGCTCGGCGCGCAGGGATGGACACATGGTTCTCTCTGGAGTTGCTTGTCGAGGGAGGCGACCATCGATTCCGCAACAAGATCCTTCTTCTCCGTCACCTGATGCGCTCTCAGCCTAGCTACGATTGGTTCATCTGGATCGATTCCGACACTATGATTCTCGACATGGACTTTCGAATTCCGTGGCAGCAGTACAATGACTACAGCCTGGTTATGTGGGGCGACGGACCGAGCCTCGATTTCGACCCACATTATACCAGATCGCTTAACACAGGGGTCATGTTCGTGCGGAACGACGACATCTCTCGGGAGTTTTTCGACACCATGGTTGACCTATGGGATAGCCATCCTAATCAGACGGAGGTCTATTTGAAGGTGAAGAAGGTTCTGCCGGGGATTCCAGGTTATCTCTGCGATCAAGGGAGCGCCATCTACATGCTCATGACACAGAAAGATCGATGGCTGCCGCGTGTCTATCTCGAAGAGAGGTACCACATCAACCGGTACTGGAAGGACGAGGCGGATAATCTGGACAAGTACATGGCGGAGCGTGAAACGTGGCGGAACGATGGAAACCACCCACCTTTCATCATGCACTTCTGCGGATGCGCGCTTTGCTACATGAAGTACTCTGTGGATTTTGACGAGTGCCAGCGTCAGCACGACCGAGCGTTCAACTTCGCCAACAACCAGATCATCAGAGATTTCGGATTCATGCATCGGAACCTGTCGTCATCGGAGGTGGTCCCCATCATCAGATGACGAACACCATCAACTAGACAACAGGAAGTTTGTTCGGATATGCTTTGTTTGTTCGTTTAGCACATTTGTTAGTATTTCATGACTATTCCTCCTCAGAGTCTTTCCTCCGTCTCATCCTTCCTACACACCTTCACTTTACTATTCCTCTTCCGTTCACTCCACCTCCTCCTTGCTTAGCCATTTTGCTCTTCTTCTTCGTCTTCGTCTTCCTCTTCCTCTTCTTCTTCTTCGTTCTTTTCCACTGAAAACTGGAGCTTATATATGCGACCATAACAGTGGGAGAAGTATAGTCCTTCCTTGTCGTCATCGTCGTCCTCCTCCTCCTCCTCGTCTTTCTCCTTTCCTTCGTTCCCTCTGAAGATATCTGAGTCTGACATCGTAGGACATCGTTCTGATGGACTATTCGAACGAGGGGGTCTATTTGTAAGATCCCGTGACATGGCCTTGCGAATACCCTGCTGATTTCCCCTCTTTTTCTCCGTTTTTTCTCTCCATTTTTCCTTCTCGTCGTTTTTTTTTTTTTTTTTTTGTCTCCTTTTTTGGTGCTGCTTTTTTCGGCTGCTACCGGGGGGTCGGTATTCTTCTTCTCGTTTATCCGAACACGGGTAAATCTACCATTAATTCTACCATTATTCATAGATTTAACGGCCCGATGGATGAATTTAACGGCGAGTTTGAAGGCGCCTGCTCCTCTGCGAATGGTAGAATTAGCTGTAGATTTAAAGGGTCTATTGTAAACCACCACGACCTCTCTCACTCTTGGTGAAAATGTAAGTATGCGGGAGTATGTGGAGGCTCGGCAGTTTTCACACTTTTTTCGGAACTTTTCGGGAGTATGCCGAGGCTCGGCAGTTGGGCCCAGCAGTTGGGCCTTGTGCGCCCGTTCGAAAAACAAAAAGAAAACAAGAAGAAAAACAGAAGACGTGCACGAAATTAAGGGTCTCGCTCCACTACTATACACTTTACAAAATTGTATAGTTCGGCGTTGCTCCGCTAACTATACATTATACACGTGAAAACTCCGTTGTATAGTTGTCAGAAATCGGCCGTGGATCGCACTCTACATTTGTGTTTAGTTCCCAGCCTGCAAAAGTCGTTACTCGGATACTCCTCGAAGGGTGGTCGAAGGAGGCCGCCGTTCGAACACGAAATCGGATAGTCCGCCTGGAGTCTGGGCCGACAAACTGCTGTCTTGTAGTGCTCTTAGGGTGTTTTGTAGTGAACTCAGGAATTGGAGAGCTGTATAGCGGATAGTAAGTGGAGTGACGGCGCAGACTATACACGAAATCTCCGTTTTGTGGTACTCTGACAGCTATACACGAACTCTCCAAAATTCTGTATAGAGGACAGTGGTGGAGCGAGACCCAAAGTTTTCTTTTTGTTTTTGTTTTTTGTTTTGGTGCCCTGCTAGGGAGTCATAGGGCAGTCAACAGAATTTGCTGACACTTTTGCGTAGGACATGCAGAATGTATGAATTTGAATGTGGTTTCCCGCCCTAAGTTCAGTTTCAATTTTGTTTTTTCGTTTTACTTCCGTGGACCTGACACCCCCTGCTGTAACGCCCTCACTCAGGGCATACTCACACAACAACTTGGGGGTCGGTATCTACCTGGTATAGCGTCCACTGGGGTCGGTATCTACCTGGTATAGCGTCCACTGGGGTCGGTATCTAACTGGTATAGCGTCCACAGTGGTGTTTGTTGTTTTCTTTCTATTTTTTTGGTGGTTGGTAAATGCCCTTGTCTGAAAGTCTGGCTGTGTTTTTTTTTTTCCCTTTTTTCAGAAGGGTACCAGAAAAGAAACAAAACGGACCCAGGCTCAGCAAAACTTGGTGCACAGTGAAAATCAGGGTCGACAAAAACAGGCTCGGAGGTAGTGGTGCTTCTTCACATGGTCTTGTGTGGAGGACTGTGCTATCGAGCATGAGAGACTAGTGAAATTACTCATAGCCAGTCTTGTTAAATGTTATACATACCAAAAAAAAAAAAAAAAAAAAAAGAAGTTATACATAGCCAGACTTGTTAAATTATTCATAGCCGTCTGACTCAGAGTTCTTGTCTTCATCCCCCGCTGACTCAGGGCGTTCTTCCACTACTCACTAACTGTGCAAATTGAGAATGTCATTGAATCTTCCGCTAGAACATGGAAAGATGCACTGCCATTGTTTTGTCTTTTCTGCATGTGGCGAGCAGTGGACAGACCGCCTCTTTTCGATTCATCATCACACCCCGACAATAGATAGAATGGCATCAAAAATTTAAAACACCCCAATTGTAAAACAAAGACAAAAAAAAGAGAAAACAAAAAAAAAAACAGTCCCCAACAAATTGGAAATGCTCTCCACCGAATTGAAAAGCTCCTCACCAATCCATGTAGTAGACGAACCATTTCCAGGGCATCCTCACACGAGCTTAGGACGTTTTTCCTTATTTCTGGGCGGAAATGCGGTCAGATACATCTGAGTTGGGCCCGTAATTATGGTCAGGTAGATCTAAGATTGTGGTAGTATGTGAGTATGCTCTCGGGGGAGAAAGAACCCTGGAAAGATAACTCGTGTCGATACCTTGTGTAGTAAAACAGGGCGCTCTCGCTTTCCTTGTTCAATCGTCCATTCATGTGTGATGTGATCCTTTCTTGGCTCTTTCAATAAAACGTCAGAAGGCAACCTTAGGCTACTATTGTAAGCGGAAAACTCGAGCATCCCCTTCCCCTCTCTCTCTCTCTATCTCTCTCTCTCTCTCTCTATATATATATATATATATCGATATATATATATATATATGTTAGTACTTTCCAAATAAACTTCAAGCTCAGAAAAAAATAGATAAGAGCTAGCATCTTCCTGACTGCCTAACCCTATTCTTTCAACCCTGCTTTCACTTCTCATGTGGCCATTAACTCAAACCAATACTGTGTCCTGTGGGCTCTGCTGCGGCCTGCCTCATGTTTCTAACCAGCAACCCTTTTACGGTGGCCTAAGCCATTCGGCGATTACCAAGTTGCGTTCCATAGTTACTGTACCCATCAGGTTGCCATGAGCCCAAGTCTTCAGAAAGAAGGGTCGATCTCCTCTCTGTCTTCCTGGAACCATCTTCCAATTTGCCATTATCATTAGACGGATGTTTTTCCGAATTTAAGCACGCTGCAGCAGCGAGCGAGTTAATCTTTTCACCTTTAAATACAGCCGCATTTCTTGTGCGCCAGATTTCTTGCATTATCACGCCTCTGCACTCCAGGGCTACGTAGCCCCAACTATCTGTATAGTTGAAATCTGGTGCAGGAAATGAACCGTACAGTATCCAGTCGTCTGACCATTCAAATTTATTTCCCACCAGATCCTTCCACAGCTGTCCTCACCAGAGCCAGATTTCGTCGGCTAGTGGGCAGTTGTGCCTGCAGCCCCACTCACAGCATTTGCATGTCACTGACACATTGATCCCTCTATTTGCTAACCACTGTGATGAGGGGATTACTTGAAGTGATTGGAGGAATTTGAAGCCACAGCAGGGTTCCAGTCTTCTGAGATGGGATGCGCTGCAGAGCCTTCCATTGGGGGATCCATCCCGGTTGGTGGGCTCCCTGTCCCTTGAGTCTCATGAATCTAGAAGAAGCTAGTGCCTTCGGTGAACGGGACACTTGAGAAAGAATTGACGTCACCCCCGTCCCAGGCTTGTATTGGAGCACGGGTGTAGAGGAGCCTGGTCCCGAGGAGCTGCTCGGTGGCCATCCCAGCAGCAGGGGTTCCACTCTGAAGCCTCTGGCATCACCCAGCAGGAGAGGTTTCTTATTACTGATTAGACCTCTGACTTCCTCCAAGTCCAACGATTGCGCAATGGTCCTCTCTTGGGTCAGCATCAGGGCACCTTTCAGTTCTCTGGGGTGCTCGAGTCTCCATTCTTGCACTTTTACTCCTGACTGCAGATCTGGGCCTAATACTTTCCAGACGCAGATGTCATCCATATCCGATCTCAGCCATGTGTCCTCCCTATTTTTCGTTGCTGCCTTCATGCATGACGTCCAGGTCGAAGGGAACGCCGCTAAGACCGCCTCCAAATTTTCTGACACGTTACGTAGCCTTGACAAGCGTAAGGAGACCCGTCTGCAGAGAACCAATCCTCATTCTCTCTGTCCCACAGGTGTTTGACCTGTACCACTCCATTTTCGATCCAGGCCCGTCCAAAATTTCCCCTCCCCTGCTCTACTGAAAAAGTCATACCTGTGTGAGAGAGAATGTTCGGATTTTCAAAAATACGCTGATTAGCAATTTCTACCTTTGTATTTGGCACCTGCAGTTGGACTGGACGCAATTTCCGCCATGCATGCATGATATCGTGCCAGACTACAGTAGGACGGCAATAGACAACACAGTCAAACATCTCTCAGGTTCTGTAGCGCCCATTCTCCCCCAAGAATGTATTCAGCTTTTTGTATCCATAATTTGGATGGATCTTCAAACATCGCCTTGATGATCCATTTGGCTAGAAGGGCCAGATTTTGGGATCTCGGATCTTCCCAGCGCGGCTGGGCAACTACTTCCCAAGCCACTTTTGTCATGAATCCTTGATCTCCATTCGCTGTGGGCTTCCACAAATATCTGGCCGCGGCCCTCTTAGTGTCCGTATAAGCTTCTTGGCCTAGCAAACGGATTGTCAAGGGGAACCATAGGGTAGCAAAGGCTGCAGATGATAGCACTAAGGCTCTTCCAAACAGGGAGAGACTAGAGTTCCTGACCCAAGAGTGGATTTTGGCAACCACTTTGTCCACAAGAATGTGGTCTTGTACTTTTGAGCAGTCTGACAGGGACACTTGCACCCCCAAAAAGCTCTCAGAGTCAGCTGCCCCAGTCCACTTTCAGGGTAAACATTGAAGGCAGGAAATATACAGACTTGGCCCAATTGATGGAAGCTTCTCACAAACAATAGTAATCATCTATAACTAACCTGAGCTCTTCCAAAGAAGAGGAGGTGTTGGTGCAAGCTACCGTAAGATCGTTTGCTAACACTGTTACGCCAAACCTCACGTGCCCAGCGCGACTTCCTGTTTTTGGAGTGGGAGGGGGGCCAGAAGTCCAT